TCTTTAAGAATTGGCAGCACAACATGTTTCCGTGTTTCTTCCGTTAACATGCAGTGCTTTTTGGTGACGGACACCTCAAATCCCGTCAACTCCCTTGTGATGTGGGGCGAACTCCAATGCAGTCCTTCCATGAGCCTCCAAACGGTCCACAGACCACGACCTAGCTTCAAGACAAGCTGCGGTGGATGAGATTTCCAGAGACCACGACCTTGGCATACTAGCTCAGCTCAGATTCTACACATCCTGAAACAAGCACGGAAGTAGATGGGCCCCAGCACCATCAACTTCCATTGCTCAGGGAGTGGATGGGCCCCAGAACCTTTCATAGGACCTCTTGCTCCAAGCATCCTCAACCATACTCTCCATCCCTCCACCTCCAGCTTCACTTCTGGCCCCTACAAACTACTTCACAAACTTTGGAAGGCTTCTACATGGCTTTCTCTACAGAACTGGGGTAGCAACATCTGATCACCTGCCTGCGGGGGAGTGAAATCGAACTTTCACCACTGACAGCAGCTTGACCTGCAATCATTCCTTGGGGATTGTTTTTTTTTTTTTCTGCAGTCTCAGAAGAGGACGTGGCAGTTCCATGAAATGGATACAAATGGATGCAGAAATCCTACAGGATTGGAACTTGTCCCCCTACAGGGCCTACAGCACTTGCTTTAGTGGGGACCTTGTATTCTTGAGTTCGTGAAACCCTGCAAACACACACAATGTCCTGCCCTTTGGGCAGGCCAAATCACATCAACAACACGTCTATCTCATTCACTCAGGGCCTACGTAAGTGTTTTCCCCTGCCTAGTTTCACAGGCCACAACACACCAATCAACATTCATTCACCCTTCACACAGACCCGACCGGATGACGGCCCGACCTGGCTATCATCTTCCAAGAGCTGCAAATCATCTCTGACTGACTGTTCTTGTCCGTTCCTATGTCCAGTCCAGTACAACAACTCAATGCAAGTTTGTTTTTTCTATGTTTGTGATCACTCGATATTTCTGACGTCGAGTTCATAAAAATCAAGAGCCCCATTTCAGACCCCTAACCTGAAAAATACGACACCAACACACCTCTCTCTCCGACCGCCGTTTCGTGCATGACACCAAGAGCATCGTCAGTGCCACTGCCAACACCTGTGAGGCGTTCTGCGGTCGCCTACCCGGCGACCCGTTCACCAACGCCGTGCCACTTGTGGATCCACCAGCTACCCGGATCGTGTCCCAATGCGAAACAGGGAGGTGACCCGAGTGACCATGAAGCAACTGCTCCATGTTGCTGAAGGTGCCAAGACCCTAGACCTGAGGGTCTAGCTACCCGGATCGCGAGCAGGTCCCTACTCTGAGCCTTGGGAGGTTACTGTACCATCAGTTTCCATGTCGGAATGGTCTGCTTCCCATCCATCCAGTGGATTCGACAGGGCAACTCCTTCCTCCGACAACTCCGTTCGTTACCCCGACATGGAACTGCTGCTAGTTAATTGCACTACCCATTTTGAAATGTCTGGTGGTGACTATACCTTGGGCTTCCAATATCATTCAAAGAAAGGTTGACCTGGTTGCGTAGTGTAAAATCCTTAGTAAACCAATGGTGGTTCGGTCAAGACCATCATAACAATGGTTGTTGGAAGCCTAGGGTATAGTTCTTTCAAGTTGGTTGAGCAAATCACGTGGTGCTCATCTTTGCCATGGACTTGCTCCTCGCTGGAACACATGTAACTGGTCCTTCAATCAAACCGGGCTGGTTTACATGCTTGTGAACACCTTCCCGGTCCCTGTCCGGTCCCAACGTGGTCCTCAAAAACCCGCCGTGGTCCTGTTCAACTTCAGCAGCATGAGGGTCCGTGCAACGATCGGTTCACAGGTACCGACTCGTCTGAGTGTTGAACATTCTGATGCAACAGGACCTACAGGTACCTGGGTCACGACAAAGAAGAGGTACATCCTCACCCCACAGTGCCAAGGTCGGAGCAAATGTCTTCAATGTAATTATAGTAGGGCCAGGGCAGTGAATTGCACACTTAACATCATGTGTAAATCCCTTGAATTTTGCCTAACCTGTAACACTGAAAAATGCTGGTTTTAAGAACCTGGGTATAAATCACAAACAACCTTGACCACCTATCTTTTACTGTATGAGGGCAGCCTATGCCCACACATGGGCAAATCAAATGTCCACTCTCCAGGGCTTGTGCCGTTGCTGCCAAGGCACCAGCTGCTCTGCCCGGCTGGTGATCACTGGCGCAAAGGCCGATCGAATCCGGTCAATCCAAGTCTGTTCCTCTGAACGTTTCGTGGATGTTCACTTGGATGTGCGGCGCGCGAAACCGGGAAAACACCTCTTCCGCTTGGGGGGGGATGCACCCAGTTCGGGAACATCCGCAATCATCCATCAATCCGATGCGCAACAGCAGGATTCAGCAGCGTGTGATGCGCAACATCAATGAACAAATAGACCGCTTGCGGTCTGGAATGGACCTGAGCTTCGCAAGCGGAAAACCCACCACAGTTTGACCCGGATCTCGGCGCGGCCCGACGGCGCGGCCATCACCATGACCGGTGGTAATTAGTCCCGAGGTCACGGACCGGTGGGAGTAAAAGAGTACTAAGACCAGTACTAAGACCAGTGGCCCGCTGCTGGAGAAAGCGGTCAACACCAAAAACCACTTGGAGAAAGCCTTACCGAACCGAATGGGCCCGACACCGTGCCACTCTTCCACGGGTCTGGAGCTCCAAACCCCGTGGTTTGAGCGCCCGGATTCGGCAACCGTATGAAATTCACAGTTGATTGTCCAGCACTTCTCAAGTCAGTGAGTCTTCCATTGGAAAGTATTGAACTATGAGGTTGTTGATAGCATGAGATATGTCTTGTCATGTCTTGGCCATTGTAGAATTGCATGAAGGCCGAAGCAAAGAATAGGGATCACCCCAAATAAAGAAAAGCAATCAAAACGGAACATACCCCACGTGCAGAAAAATAAAAAACGCAAGACACACCAAACTACAATCGGGTCCTGTTTGGCCTTGTTTTACATATTTAAGTATCTATTTGTCTATTACCAATTCCCCAAACCCAATGGTCCGCAAAGGTCTACCGTAGATAAGAAACATTTGGATACTAGTTCCAATCAAGTTTACACCAACCTTCTTCAAGAAACTCTATCGCAAAGTATACAATCCCTGGGGCTCCAAGTACCTCCTGAAAAGGTGCTTTTGATAGGTTTGGAGGGTCTAAAAGTCAAACATTTCTGAGGGTTACTTGGAGCCCTAGCAGCTGGACAGCGGAAATGTCAAAGATGAGTACTTTAAGGAACTACAATCATGATCTTAATAATGTCGTTCTTCCACTTTTTGTGTCGCCAAATTGCCGCACCTGGAGCTGAGAGATCACAGTCGCCCTCAAACAAGGGGTGTGCCTGCGCGAGACCCCTCCAGGGGGGTGTCGCCCGTTGTGCATCGCTGAAGAATTTAGCTTGATACGCCCCTCCAGAGGGTTTTGTCATCAAAAAGTGCCGAGCAAAGCCTTTATCCCACTTTGGAGATCCTTCCAAGCTAAGCACATCGAACCCAACATCTCCCCCCAACGACTTGAAATCCATATGCCAGAACGAACTGGAAATGCTAGTCCGTGAAGTTGACCGATTTGCCGTTCAGGAAGTCGAAATCCATCATTTAAACCAACTCCCCCAGGATCAAACTCACCCAAAACACCGCCAGAACCCAGTGACTGATCCGACCAATCCGACCAATACGCACCCCGTCCCCACCCAGCGGGGCAGAAGAACGGCACCTCATCGATGGGCACCGCCTCTGTGGGGATCATGAAGGGATCCATGGCGCCGATGTTGATGTTCTTTCGTAGTGAGTGGGAGTGGCTATGGCAGCTATGGTGAGTGGGAGTGGCTTGTTTTTTGTTGGTCTTGTCTTTGCTTCAGTTGCCATGTTGCTGTGACAAAAAGGATATTCGTCGAGGCATGTTGAGATTGAGGTAATTGGTCCAGAATGTGACGGAGCGCCGTTTTTGATTTGATTGTGTTTAGCATGGCTGGGATTCTCTTCACCAAAAAAGAAACAGTTGCCGTGTATTCACGCTGGATGGCACCATACAATTTGCTATCTGAGAAGAAGCATTCGGTCTTTCTCACATGAGATAAGCTCTCCATGGCACTGGCGGTGAAAATGCTGGCCGAACTGGGATGGGTTCCTCACATCCAGTCGCAGCGTCGAACGTGTCAACCTGTCGCCAACTGTATCTGGCAAGGAACATCGATCATTTCATCACACCAGTCCCAGGCACTTCAGGGACTCCATGCGACTCCATGGGACTGCCATGGGACTATGGATCGACTATGTCATGCCCCTATGGATCCACTGGCATCCTCGTGGAGGTACGGTTGGACACTCTTCTATGTCGGCTTGGAGGGTCCAGCTTAAACCTGAGGTGGCAGTGGATCCAATTAGGGCTGGATTGAAGCGGTTGATTTCAGGGGTGAAGTTGGGTAAATCTACCTCAGTCCCAAACAGGTCGTCGAGATTCGATACATCCGTCGGACGGACATCGCTGAGATACCCATCGTAGAACATCGTTAAACGCAGCAGCTTGGTTGACGAAGACATGGGGCCATGGGTCATGGCTCCTCAGGTTCGGTATGACTGGACCCTTCTGGCACACACACACAACCGGTCCCACCTTCGAAACGATGCGGTACGACCTGGAGCCCAAACGGGCCCGGGCCGGGGTGTGGTTCTTCCCAGCGAACATCAACAGAATGGACGACCTAACAGGAGGTCAACCTACTGCGCTGAGGTCACCGGGCTCTGGGCGTTGCCCCGCAGCCACGATGTGGCTAGTGGCGTGACACCACCCGAGGGTGGATGAAGGATGAAGGAAAGTCGTCTTCGGGAGCATGCCATCCACTTCTACCATGTGAGGTGTTTGTATGTGTTTGTCAGAGTGTACATCCTCGGATCTGATCTTGACGTTTTCTTCAACCAATTCCTTCTGAGTGTTGCACAGTGCGGTGGACAGATTGAACCACATTTGTCCCTCCCCTTTTTGCAGGTCAGGAGTTCCTGACCTCAGACTGGAGTTGATCATTCAAGTCCCGGATCGTGAATGCCGAACTGAACTGCTTGACCCATCTTCTTTTGGCCTCAAACGCATGCGAAAGAGCCAACGCATTCTGGGCAAATCCGGCATTCGCCGCTGTCTCAGACAAAGCTGCTGTCTCCAGCGGGGGCACATCATCTGGCCGCGCTTCAGAGGCAAGATGTGGTTGGCCATATTACTAAGTGTATCTTTACAATGTCAATTGGGATTGCCGGCGTTCACTGCCTGAATGGGGCCGTGACGTGTCCGCCCAAAACATGAAGGCGCTACAATTCCATTGGGCTTCCAATACCATTCAAAGAAAGGTTGACCTGGTTGCGTAGTGTAAAAATTCGTAAAACACTAGTGCTTCGGGATTTAGACCATTATAACAATGGTTGTTGGAAGCCTAGGGAGTCCATGGAAGCCTAGGGATTTGGAAACTCCACGGAACTGGTTTCCCCATCGTGGGACACACCGCGACACACCGTCCTCACCGAGCGGGAGAGGGAGCGGCAGAGGGCGGAGCGCAGCTTACGTCAAGGTGCGCAGCTTACGTCAAGGTGCGCTTCCTGGGGCGCAAAGAAGTGGCCAGGAGTGACCGCTAGGAGTGGGTGGTTAGGAACCCTCCACCAGGACCTTCAGTGTCCTCTTTGGAGTCTCTGTTTGTAATCTGATTCCGGGCCAGACTAAGTGACCTCATCCTGGGATAGTTAGTATCAAAAGGTCATTTTGAAGGTCCTGGCAGTGAGTGGATGTGACACGGGCAGATCTTGCCTTCCTCGATGGATAGCACTCCATGGAGCTATTGGGGCGGATAGCTCTTTTGAGGGGTCGATGAAACAAGGAGGCACAGTGCCTGACAAGAGCCACTCGCGTTTTGCAGAGTTGACATCTGTGGCAGCAATACAACCTATATAGAATCATACTCGCACAAGAGCGTTTGTGGAGATGTCCCAATTTTTGTCATGCTTGTACTAGGCTAGGCTATTAGGTGCAAAGAATCCAGCGAGGCTTCAGAAGATGTGTTTCAACCAGTCACAGTCTTGGAGAAAACGGAGCTAAACCGCCAACCAAAATGTGTTTCCGTCCTCCACACCAAGCTTCGCCATGGTTGCAACACATGACCCCTTTTGAAGAACTGCCAACTCTATCCCTCATTTTTTGGTGGAAACATCAAATAGATCGTGAACCTTTCATCCAGTGACTGAACGTTTGCCTTCGACCTTTGTCTTGCAACGCGCCAAACAAAGGTCCCAAAACATCGTGATATCTTTCATCCAGTGCTGGAAAGCCCGTTTGGGATCCAGTCGTACCTTCTCAGAAGATGATGTGAGACCGACACTCTCAATGTAGGTTTTGAGGGTCCAGTCGTACCGAACCTGAGGAGAAGGTACGAAAACGGATCCCAAACGGGTTAGAATAGCGGCTCCCCAGTCCTGCCGGAGTCACCGACACCGACCGGCCCTGTGGGCGCCTGCGGGCGGCGCCCAGCCATTTGGCGCCGAAGCGGTGCACGGTGACCACCGCCATGACATCGGTGGCCCTGGCGTCTTCGGCTTCGGCTTCGGCGTCGCTCAGGCGCGGTTTAGGTGTTCCAGGTTAGACACTGAGGAATAGGTTGGGTTTGGCCAATCAGAGCGCATTTGGAGTGCAGAAACATAGCCAAACAAGAGCCTTTGCATCTCCCAAACACTCCGTGGGACGGAACTATGACCTACATTGGTGTGAACCAACTCGGGTCAATGTAGGGCCGCACATCTGATCCAATTCCATTCGTGTCTGGGTCTTGTTCGGCAGAAGCCTTTGATTCACCAACTCGTGGACTCATTGGGACGGAAGGATGGACAGGGGACCCGTGTATTGATTGGGATTGGTACCGGGACTTCAGGAGTTCCATTGGACTGGTCATCACTTGTGGATCAGAAGTCATTGAAACAAAAGACCCCACCCCCAACGGCCCCAAAAATGGAGCCACTGGAGTTACATTGCCACAAGTTTCCTGCAAGGTTGGAATGCCGAGGCTGCATATAGGCTCCACTCTACTGTTTTTGTACCTTTCATGGTGTTGCTGTTGCAATGTAAGGGGTCTTCAGGGGCCCAGTCACCCAAGGAGGTCGGAATCCGCCTGTCAGACTGTGTATTGAAAGACCCCTGGATCGCCCCTGGTTGAGACTGGTCTATTTAAATCTATTTAATACACACCCCCACTCAGGTCTCTTGGAGTCCAAATCTAGAGTCCCGTCCCTTTGCCACGTTCCTGATGAAAGCTGATGGGCTTGCCGACTTGAAAGAAAGCCGACTTTGATGTGAAACAACATCAGCTTTGGGTCCTTTACGTGAACTTGAGCTCGTCCTTTTGAGTTCCAACCGCTGAATACCTCGCAATGGTGGATTCGATCGATGAACTGCTGGGAATGGGATGTTATTCTGAACGTTTTTGCAACCCAGGTGATCCAGTTACCACAACCAAACACTTCTATAGCTGGTCAACAGTAGTTCCAAAGACGAAAACCATAGTCCTTATGGGAAAAAGGTGGCTGCCCCTAGTTCCTTACTACTATAGTAGTTGCGATCCGGCAAGACACCCCATGACACACCCCGCCAATGCTGGCACGCTGCGGGGTAGGCACGCGGTCTCGGCGCTTGCGGCGTACCCTTTGGCTCTTGCGTGGTGGTTTCCTGAGGATGCTGAGGCGACTGAAACCCTACACTGCTACACGATGCTGCTTGCAGCTGCCTTTTTGTTAAGCATCAATAAAACTGATTTCAAGCTTGGGTCATGCTATAAGAATACAAAGCATACACTTGCCTGTCAGTGAAGATCTGCGATAGGTTATATGATATGTTGATTTTTGATGTGTTTTTGTGTTAATCATGTTTTATCCACAGTGGTTTTGCTACAAAAAGGTCAGGATGTTGCCCGGAACCCCCTGGCTTCCGCACTGGAGGGAGTCCACTTTGGTCTTCAGCGACAAGCCTGATAGCCTGAACACAGTAGTAGCCTAGTAGCCCACGAACCTGTCACTGGAACCCGAGCATTTCATTGAACTGCCCAAACACCCCATCTATACCCAGACACTCCATGGGACTGCCATATATGCCGATCAGTTGGGGTGGTTTTGGAGGTCAATGTAGGTATATATATGGCAGTCCCATGGAGTGTGTGGGATCGGTATATATAGGGACGTCTGTATACCTACATTGGGGTGCTTGAAAAGGGGTCAATGTAGGCAAAGCCTTCAATGCAATGGAGTGTCTGGGACGACCGCCTGCCCGTTGCGAGAATCCGCCGGTGGTATTACACTCTTTGAAATAGTGATGAAACTGGAGTTCCCCAACTGTTTGGTGGTCGGAAAATGGTCATCCAAGGAATCCAACAGACGATTTTCATCCACATTCATGACACTTTCAGGAAGTGTGTAAATGATCTCAACCACCCCCCCCAAAGCGCCTCTTGATCCTGACCCTGAGACCTTCACAGCTGATTTAAACATGTCCTTTCTCCCCCTGCACGCATCGCCGATTCGATGCCGTCTCCCTGAAAACGCATCTTCCGAGCTGCTGCTCGGCGGCCCGGAAGCCCCAAAGAAGCAGCAGGTCGTGCAAGTTGGGAATCACCGAGGGCGCGCAGAAGCGTGGGAAGATGTACTTCTTCAGCGTGGAAAGCCTTGCAAAGAGACGCATGACTCGTCATAGCCTCGCCTCGAGACTCGTGCCCGGCTAAGACCCAGGGCGAGAGATGGACTAGCAGCCGGACGACCCGGTGCACATAGAAATGGGAGTTCGTTTCAAGAAACAGGCTGGTCAAGTTTCGCAGATTGAGGTCCAAAGCAGTTTCTTCGATTCGAGTGGACATCCGCAGCTTCTTCACAAGTACCAGGACCCTCCAACAGGTTTTGGGACACACCTTAACATCTAAGAGTCTAAGAGGCTATATCTATAGACACCCCGCTAGACACCCCTTGGAGGGTCCTGGTAGTAAGGGGATCTGTCTTCCCATTCGACATGCTTACTAAACACCCAGACCGATTACCATCCGAAGACCGCATCTGACTCCCGTGCCATTTGTTTCGTTCTAAAGGTGAAGCGAACTGTCCACCTGTTCTTGTGAAACGTGGGGGACACCCCCAATGGCAAAGAAAGTTGTTGCATGTTATCATATGTTATCCACGTTTCCTGGGTAGGTCATTTTGACCCATGGAGCACGAAGATTGGGGTTTCACCCATGGTGAAATCGTTTCTTTTTTCCTCCAAGGACTCGAGTGTCACACCGCACACCGGTATTTCGCGGGGCTTCCGCTCATCCCGGGTTCCGCTCTGTACAGGGCTGCTTAGGACCTTCACCAGACAATCCTGGTTGCTCCGCGTTGTGTGGACCAGCTTCGAACCAGTATGTACTGTAGACTGTAGACTCGATGTTTTTCTCTGCCTGGAACCCAGACATGACCTCTGCTTTGATAGGAAAAGGCAATATTTTTGGGTGGTTGGTGGTCCAAAACAGAGGTCATTCAGGTTCTAGGTTATATCTGTATTTTTCGCAGTATGATGATACCAGTGAGGGAAAGCCGCCAGCCAGTGTTGGTCCAGGTGTTCCTTAAGTTGGAACAGAGGGGCGGGATAGCAAGCATCAGGTCCTCCGGAATGAGGAGATTGTCCCAGAGCAAGATGAAGTCGCTACTCTTCCTGAGACTGCACACGGCCATGCATGGGCATCGTGGGAGACAGACAGACAGACAGACAGACAGGCAGGCAGGCAGACAGACAGACAGCCAGGCAGACAGACAGACAGACAGACAGGGGGAGGGAGAGGTCGTTTGTTGGAGAGCTTGGACAATATTGCTATAATCATGTGACCATTCATGTTTCATGAGTCACTTCTTGGTCGATATACACCTACTGAGTCACTACTGAGCCGCTGTGTCCTGGCTGAGGTGGATTTTAAAAGCTCCTTGGCCTCTACAAACCAGTTCCTATAGCACCTGAGTAGCCTGTATTTTCCTCCACAAACAGGCGGTTGTCCACGTTGTCCACTTCGCTCCACTTCAATGTCTAGATGTTCCCAATCCCTAGGGATCCAAGTACGTTCTCAGAAGGTACTTGGACCCTCCAAACCTACATGACAGCGTCTCCAATCACCGTCTGAGAAGGTACTTGGAGCCCTAGGGAATGTTTAGATGAGTGAAAAACCTCGGAACTCAAGATGTCTTAAAACGAAACCAGCCGACCGAATTGGCCCACCACCGGCACCATTCCCCATCCACTGAACTTATGCCTACAATATCCTACATCGATCCCTTTTCAAGCACCCCAATGTGTGCAAACCTATAACATATATATGGCATACATGGAGTGTCTGTGTAATGAAATTTGGGATTCCCTTTTCCTCCCGGGTGCTGGGCCAATCCCAAGCCGTTGAAGCAACAGTTTCAGTCAGGTCTCATACCCGTGTGATTGAAGAACTTCATGAGCTTCCCATAGTCTTCTCGACACCTCGAAGAAGCGCCAACCAAGTTTGCGGAGAAACCCTGAACATCTTGGCAATAATTGGATGAAAGAGGGACAACACTGATTTCAAGAAACATGTCGGATACTTCTCAAGGAAAATGTTCACAGTTCTGTGAAGTCACTCTCTCCCAACTCCCAAACCTCGTGATGTGCAAAAAACCTTTAGCTGGAAGAAGATCCCCAGAAGGAGACATGCTCCAAATCACCAGCTGAGCTCTCCGCAGCATTCCTACAGTACGTAGGTGGCACGTAGGATGGGTTGGTTCTTGCTTCTGTTGATCTTGAAGGTTCAGCATATCCGAGTATAGCACACCAGTGCAGTTCTGCATTTACCTCGTCCTTTTACTTTCCATTGTCTTACAGTTCTTCCACAATTCCTCACGTGCCTGATTCCTGGAACTCTGCCATAGACGCAAAAATGCCCAAAGGCCACCCCAAAAAGGGTATCCCCTCTGTCTTGAACCCTCCTCCCTCCTAAATCACACTATCTTCCGCCCTCTTCCACAGTGAAACTGTCCGCACCGATCTTGACGAGCGACGTGGTGCCCTGCTCTTCCAAGGCTTTGATCTCCGCTTTGGCCGTTGACAGCTCCACCGCCATGTGCAGCTTCCTGCAGCGAAAAAGACAAGGCTCGCAAGGAGGATCGACTCCTTGCATCGATTAAAACACAGATTGGGATTGAACCACCTATAAAAACCGATATGAATTTGAACAACCACTTCATATCTTTCATATGGGGGTTATTCATCAAGATGCCATGGCCTGGCCGCGGCAACAATTCAATAACATTCAGATATCAAATATTCAGGCAAGCTCCTCCATCAACCCCCAGAAAACTCAGCCAAAAAGAACCACACCAAAAATCAAGACACACGCACAAATCTCTCCAACTCCCGCCTCTACCTCTACAATACGTATACTGATAGGATCCGGGCCTAGGCCGTCCGGCTCACTAGGCCGAAGCCTATGCCTTCTTTCCCCATTCTACCCATATACCGGGCCGCGGGGGCACAAAAAAATGTAAAACCTTCCCAGCAGAGGTGGCTAGTGACCTGAACGAACGGACCCGTCACCAGGGTACCGAACTGGGATAGTCGAACTAGGGTCACTTAACCTCTCTTGGTTCCACTCGAACCGTTCCGGGTGAAAAGCTCCGGATCCGGTCCAAGGCTCAAGGGATCCGCCGGGTCATCGGTGAGTTCCAGCGCCATCTGCAGCGCCTCCAGCTGCTCCGTCAGCCTGGGGTAGAACCGGCACGATTTCCACGGGCCGCGCGAGTGGTTGGGGAGGGCGCGGAATTGGGGAGGAGAAACAGGAGGCGGTTTTGGTTGGTTGATGAAGGAATTGAGAATAGCTGGGTTTCAGAAGGTGTCTTTTGTTGGAGCATCCAAATGGGGCGAGGGATGGGATGGGTGTGAGAAGCATGGCTGGAAGTGTTCTCAATTTGCAGAGATCATTGAACCTATTCAGTGGTCAGGATTAATGGTGTAGTATGGAATGGATGGCGGAGCATCAAATGTGCAACGCAGTTGATCTGGCAACACCCGTTCCAAAAAACAACACTTTCCCACAACAAAAAAACACAGGTGCCAACCAGCCAGTGGTGACAGCCTCGGGGTGCCAAGCTCCAATATCTCAGACACTCCGACTCCCATTGACGTCGACCTTCCCGTCGCCTCCTCGCGCGGTTCGGCCCAGTGGCTGTTGGTTCAGCTCCCGTAGGCTTTCCTCTGCCTATAGCTATATATTAGCGGTCGCGACGCCAGCGAACACCGAGCAAGGCCTGACCCGTTACACCAGGGTCGGCCGAAAACAGCTTGGTCAAACAACTTGAAGACCAAGGTGCAACTGTTATCAGTTCAAAGTCCACTGCTTGAGCTAGCTGCGGCAGTGTTTCGGACTGTAGATTGTTTGGCCTGAACATCTTCAACCTGCGATGCTTTGTATTTCATAGTCACATGATGAGTCACATGCTGCCTAATTATATCTTCTGCAAAACATTTTGAACATCTCGATGAATGTTCTTGGTTGTCTAGAGGGCATTCTCTTGAGGCAACCACGAACTAGGATTTGAATTTCCGCTCCGCCCCACAGTCACAAAGGTGTTGCGTCTTCACGAAATGACTGTCCAAATCTTATACATTGAATCCCTCGTCTGCATCCCCACCTACTTTTCCCTATGACTCCAATTACCTCCTGAGGTTGGGGCCTCTTCCAAGCCGACCCTGACGTTCTTCATCATCTTCAAGGTCTCAGTAAAACGGTCATGTGGCCTCCAACCCGCCAGGGTATATGTCCTGATGAGCTAGTGGAGGCTGGCTTGCCTAATTATGCACCTGGCGGTCTCAGGAGTTCGGGTGCTAGGACCCAGGGTCCGATGGATAAACATGCTGACTTGTTTGCAGGCATTATGATGCAAAACTGCTCGATGCTGGTGCTGGCGGTGGCTATTTGAGCCATCTTGGAGGGTCAAAGAGGGTCTGGTGACGCTGACCACTGGCCCAGTTTCCTTGGAAAAGACCCGGGTCGTCCCACCTGTTCTGCTTTACTGGGGTGTTCCCAATCCCCCCCAAAAAAATGGTTGGGCAAGTGATCCACCCACCATCCTGGGTCAAGGAGTGTAGTGAATGGCATCACTTCTTGGGATAGAAACCTCCCTTAGTATCCTTGAGCATCAAAGAGAGCTCTCCCAAAACAATGCACGTCACTGAGATGCTTTAATTAACCACCTACTATGTATGCGCAGGCAGGATAGCCCTTTGGCAAATTCACCCAATCCCACCCGCTCGTCCGGCACTGTCAACGTCCTTGACCTTCCTTGCCAGCCCCAGGTATTGTGCTTCCTTGTCATTTCCGATTTGTGGTGCGCGTATATATCCACAAAACCATTTAAACACACAAAAAGAAAGCCTGTTCGGAAGCAGAACCGACCCCGGAACGTTCAAGTCATTGACTGGAACACCATGTTTCTAGAGGAATGTCGTTTTCCTGGATCCGTCTTCGCCCCACTGGCCGAGGTGCTCCCTCGGAGTCGCGTTGCACCGCACGGCTCACGCTCTTCATCAAGGGGCCAAGCTCCTGCGCCGGTATGGTTAGGGTATGTAGAGGCGGCTGTCAAAAGTCCTTTTCCCCAAACGTTGTGATGTTGTAATCCTGAAGAATCCTGATTGAGGCCCACTTCTAACCAATACACACCACCTGTAAGGAGAACCACGTCACCCATGTTTTCAGATAGTGCAAAATAATCTGAGAAGTACCAGCGGGGAGCTCCCCAAAATGAGAAGAATGTAGAAGAATGGTTAACATGATCTATTTCAAAGGGTGCATATTTTGGGAGACCCCCTGACCTAGGGAGACCCCCTGGCCCTGGCTGGGTAGACTGGTCTATTTCCATCGTCCTTTGCCGTCGAACTGAGAGGTCCTGCTATTAGCAAAGGGCCCAGTGGATGATGAGGATGATGACGACGAGGATGGCGACAATGTCGAGGATGATACTGGATGATGAGGATGAGGATGAGGATGAGGATGATGATGATGCTTGTTGATGGGTAGGTTGAAAGCTACTGGTAATGGGGCAGACCCTATACATAGATGTTCTAGTAGGGATGCGACGGACTCCATATCGCCAGGGGCAATTCTAGCCGGACAGGCTGGCCATTACCGCAACGAAGGGGATGAGCGACCCGTGAGCAAGGGCCGCTAGGGTGTGGATCGTAAAACGACACAGCTCCTGTTGGTGAGGAAAGCGTTGGGGGAGGAGGCACTTTTCGGAAAGCTTCAAGCTGCACAACGGCATTTGTTTTACACCACCAACGACCCAACAAAATGTGTTTTTTTCCCATCAAGCAGGGGTCAAATGGGTTCCAGAAACATGATGGAACAGGTTTGTCCCGTTTTCTCATTTCTTTACCTGGGAAGAGTGGATCAGAAAGCGGAATCTTCAGAAACATTCTCTGAAAGTAGGCTGGCAGTTGCTGGTGAATCCTCCAGGAATCCTCCCTTCACAGACCTCCATGTGTCAACTTGTTGGAAGTCTTGGCCACAAACATCATCAAACATCTATAGCTTCAAAGACAGCTAATTAACTTTTCAAGGTCAATTGTTGTGGGACCCCCAAAAAATGACTGGCAACGCAAGCAGCGGCTTTTGTCCTAAGAAACTCACATAAAAGCATCTAATTTAAAGCGATGACAATCCAACTCTGTCAAAATGGTAGTATCAACAATGATCCCAAGCCGATCTTTTCGAGACAATCTACACACCATCTCCACTAATTATATGTGCAATATTTCGCTGACCTATCATCCTGTGCCGTATGCCCGCGCAGCGCGTTCCCGCGTCATGTTGTGCGCGGGAACGCGTGCGGCGCGCCTACTACGGCGCGCCCCGTCCGCGTCCGAACCGAAGCCGTTTGGCTCGCCTCCAACAGCTGTTCGCCGCGGTCGTAGAAGCGCAGGTGGTCCTCCTTGGCGAGTTGGCCGAACTCCTGAGGCGAGTTCGGCAAAGAAAGTGCGTGGCTCGGTTGGACGTTGGTGGTGGTTCAGTGAAACGGTCAATAAAAAAAACACAAAAACCATGATAATACACATGGGTGCCCAAATAGATAGAGGATTCCTGTGAGAGCTCTTTCATGTTCAATGTGCAAGAAGTACCTTCTATATAGTAAAAAGTACTCCAACGGCGAACGGGCGAACCAAACCAAAGTCCACCAAACCTTGGATTGCAATCTGTCACAAGGATCTGGAATCTGTCAAATACCATTAACATCCATTAACGATCTTCCCGAGCCATGAAGCGGATGGAATGATTCATCGCAAAACCAACAACAGGGCAGCTGAGCTAAGGCTAGCAGGTGGTAGAACATCTATTTTTCTCTATTTCATGCTGGTGAGCATCCAATCCACCACGAACCATGTGAGCCAGGGCGACACGGCCACGCCCTCTGCATTGGATCTATAGATAGGCCCTTCCCATCTGTCTCCCCTCTCTCCTGGGCGCCGCAGAAGAACATTTCGAAGATCAAGTGTCGAGCCTCGAAATAGAACCGGTCGAGCAATCCGGTCGAGCAGGACCAATCCCTATAGGGATCCAATCACCGTACCTTCTCAGGTTCGGTAGGACTGGACGCTCGAAACCTACATAAGAGTGCTTCCAATCACCGTACCTGAGAAGGTACGACTGGATCCCTAGGGCCTAGGCCCTAGGGAATGGAAAGTGTCCACTTGCTCAGACATGTCTGACTCCCGATCAGTGATCGGGTGGTGGATTGATTGACATCTGGGGTCTGATTTCTGGGACGGTATAGAATATCCCATTCATCCACAAAACAGAACAAATGGAATGTCCGGGTCTTGGAACTCTGGCAATCTGGAAGGAATCCAGCCAGAACCTACCAGAGGTGCTTCGGGTGGAATCCACCTACACTTGTTGGAATCATGATACCGTGGAAAACCACCACCTGTTTGGTAGGCTGTTTGGTCTTGGGAAAATCGTCGCTTAGGCCATGCCATCCACGGTTCCCCATCTCTTCCAGGGAGTGTCACTCTATCACTAAAGCTACTCATCCCTACTCTCCATCCGTGACCTGTGACGTTTGAGGACCAATGACCGGGACCTGGGCCGTGACCAACGCTGGAGCTGAGGTCCGAAATGGGGGTGGTCGAGCGACCTGTTTGGGGTCAATCTTCCATTTGGCGTTCATTACCTGGACCACCCTGTCTGGACCATCCTGGCTGGAGATGCCGGATAGTAGTGGAGGGTAGTCCAGCCCAGGTAACCCGAAGTAGTGGATAGTAGTTCAGCTGAAGTAGTGGATAGTAGTCCAGCCAGGATAGTACAAGTAGTGGATAGTGACTACTATCCACTACTCCAGCTGAACTACTATCCACTACTTCGGGTTACCTGGGCTGGACTACCCGAAGTAGTGAAGGAGTGGATAGTGGATGGTCCTGGTACTTCTCGATTGCCAAACTTCTCAGCTCGGCTCGTTTTTGCTGCCACGTGCTTTGGCGATGTTCTGTCCAAGCCACAGCTCGTGGACAGAGCAGATCAGCTCAAAGTAAGCCCAGTAAGCTTTGAACAATGTTGTACTGTAGTTCAATATGTAGTATTATAGTATAAGATATCACAGTATATCACACTATAACAGTATTAGTTCAATAACACTTATAACTTATATATAATAGTTCAGACCGAAAAATTAAGCCATTCTGGAAGGTTGACCCCATTCTGGGAACTGGAACAGCACCATTCTGGGAACTGGAAACACCCAGTGTTAAGACCTGTCTGCGACTGGACAAATTGCATACACCGCACCCCAGGGTGGTTTGGAAGTCAGGGGTGTCTGAATCGCTCGGATGGTGTCCAGGAAGTATGAACTGTTCCTGAGGAAGTCCACCAAAAGGGGTATATGGACCTCCAAATAGATAGAAAGGTAGATCACCACTAAGAATGTATTGGAAAGCGTGCCACTATCTATTCGGGGATCACGGAATAAAGATATCCCAAGCATGACTGATGGAACTGGAATGTATAGCTACACTGGGATGGTGTCAGTATTCAGAGGTCAAATGTAGGCATTTAGCTAGCGGGCACTATACCCTCAGATAGCTGAGCAATGACAAAAATGGAGTCAACATACCCAAACACTCCATGTATGCCATATATGCCTACATTGACCCCTCAAACCACCCCAACTGATCGGCATATATGACATACATGGAGTGTCTGGGATAGGTATGTCGTCATATGGATGATCAGCACATTGTCCCCTCGATGGTGCTGAGTAAAAGCCAAGTCACGTCCCGAGACTGAGCGACCTTGGAACATGTGCATACTGACATGCATGCGTGTGCAAGGTGTTGGAAGAGCTTCAGTGTGACAGGATGATGGGTCAATGCCCGACCCCCCCAAGCCGAAGATCCCTTGAAAAGTAACAAGGGCAACCGAACGCACTCCACCTGTTCTTGTTGAAAGGGGTGTCCCCATTCCTCAAAAATGGTTTTGCAGATGAAACACATTTCCTGGGTAGAATGGCTGTGCTTGATGTCGACATGCGTTTGAGACATTAAATTAACCTTAAACACAGATAAACAAGCAAACAACTCCCAAACACCATCAGTTGAAATGACCTTTGTGGGTCCCTGGTCGATGAGAAACGAGGAACGGGATCGATGGATTTACAGCGGGACCTGACCTGACCAATAGGTCGATCCTTCCAATTCCTTCGATGCTCCTGCCGAGTTGGTCTGCTGCTCACGTATGCTCACGTAGGACATGTGTCCAAGCACGGGAAATGGTGGTGCAAAGACTCAGCGTTGCTTGGAAAATGATATGTCCAAGCTCCGTTTGCTTCGAAGTATCTGCAGGTCTGCACTTTCTTGGGTCCAGCAGCGGGGTGCTGCCCAAGCCAAACACGACCCGCCGAGACAATGAACAGACCGGGCCATGCCGGTCTGATGCTGTGTGACCCCCGAAGTCTCGCTCCGGTCGCCGAACTTGGGAGGTTGCTGCCATGCCTGGGAGGTCTCCCTATGTTCATACACCCATCCCTAGACCTCCTCGCCACATTCACACCATGTGCTTGGGGTTGTTGGTTTGGTGCGTCTGTTTGTAGGGTCAAGAGCCCAACACCGGTAGGGCCCCTTCCACCCTTCCAAGTGACGTTGTCCTTCACGGAATCCAACTTTCCCAAGGTCTCCAGGTCAAAGCCATCCGCCTGTCCACGTTCGGTGCCACCGTTCCTTGGGTCTGCGAGAATGCCATGCGGGAGACCGCGTGGGGGGGGGGGAGCGGCCGGACAGCAGGTGGTTCACTCCAAAGGTCGATGGTACAGAGATTGACAACAACAACACAAGCTATATCTCCCAAACACTCCATGTACGTATGGCATATTTACATACATTGGGGTTGGGGTGGGTGCCAGGGGGTCCAATGTAGGTACATATGCCATACATGGAGCGTTTGGGTCTGATTTTCTAACATTATATAAGTATCAACCAAGCCAATTATTTGTTGGATGGGTCAAAACCTGGAGCCCTGGTCCACCATGTAGCTTGACCTTCCATGTAGGTGCGGTGCAACCAAAGTATCGTGCTGCCATGACCCACGGCCAACTTGTTGGATGGAACTCCATCACCAAGCAAGATCTGACCATCATTCCGCAGTCATTTGTTCTACAAATTTTTGAATTCCGGGACGAAATGGGCACGGGGAAGCAAAGAAGCAGGGTCGTGGCATCTTAGGAAACATCTACCCCTTGAAGACTGACATGGACATGGACCCTGAAACATTGCCTAGGCGGCCATTATCAGTCCTAATTATCCCAGTGGATGATCCATTGTACACCTTATGTGCAGATAGCTCCACGAAGGTGTAGAACAATGTAGAGAGCCAAACTGAATGGACTGGAACCCTGTGAAACTTCTGTGGGCTGTCTATTTCCTTGGCGCCTTTTCTGGGAACTCTCCACCGAACTTCCTTCGAACTCTCCACCGAAGCCTCCACCCGACAGCTCGGGTCGGAACTCTCAACACCGAGGCACAAGTAGTTGCCGACCTCCAGGATCAGTGCGAGGAGCTTCTGCAGCATCTGCGACTTCCGCACCGCCCGCTGGATCTTCCCGAACTCGCCTCGACCCCGGTCACGCGGATTCGTGCGGAGCGTTCCACGAACGAAGGAACGCGCGAGCACGGCTTCGCGCGTTCCTAAGAGGAAGAGAGATGGATGAATGTCCCAGGAGGTCAAGGCTCGGTGAGTTCCGGGTGGTTTTGACCCACGGTCAAATGACTGTAGCGTCACCGAGGTCCGCTTGACGAGCTCCTGAAGAGGTCGAGTCTCGGGATGTCGAAGGCGTTTCCCCCCAATTGACGAACACCCGCTGCCATCAAAAACCCAGTCCGGATGCTTTTCCCCCCCCAGTCCCAATCACTTGCGTAAAGGATCTCAAACCATGATCATTCATCGGAATAAATGCAAAAACCGATGGAAACACCCAGTTGATGTTGGAAAAAGACTGCATGGGTAGTTTCCAAGTCGTTCAACCAAGGATTCGTTCCCATGGGACCGGTCCCTCTCAACATCCCAGTCGTCGCGGAGCCCTGGCAGGGCGATGTTAGGTCCGCTTCATGTGAGGTTGCAACATCAACCAACCTATACCAGGGCCCCCCGGGTTTGGGGGTGGCGAATGGACATCCGGAGCTATAATTGGACACCCCGAAACCAGGGGGCCCTGGTAGCAACGCTTCAGGAACAACCATCAACAGGCTGAACATGCGTTGATTTATTTACACACGGCAAAAATCACCACTTACAATCCTCAGGTTCGGTGGTTAGACCCCCCTGGCACCCACCCCAACCATCTTCGAAACGGTGGGCCGGGAGCCCTATAGGGGTAAATGTGTAGACCAACAACTGACTACTGGGGACACATCAATACTGCGACCAGTGCTCGGCAATTCAGGGCATTCATGTTCAAACATGTCCTCCCCACAAACATTCATGTGTTCCCCAGCCCTCAATCCTATACATGTTGTGTTTTGAATCAAACACCTGCTTACTAACCTGCTTATCCCTAGGGCTCCAAGTACCTTCTGAGAAGGTGTTTGAGGTGGGTTTGGAGGGTCCAAATACCTTCTGAGGAGGAACTTGGAGCCCTAGGGTATAGATTTATATCCCCCCAACTCCACAAGGTGATGACCATCTACCTGCTTGAAGTGGAGTGGTCGTCTAGCTACTCCACCAACAGCTGAATCCCGGCCCATGCATCTGTAAACTAATTACAGTACTGATCTTTTCACAGCCTCACAACCCACTAACAATCACAAAACACAAGATGCCACATGCCCCCAAGAATGAATTACTTGGACTGACTGGTCACCAGCCCCTCACAAAAGAAAAGAAACAAACAGAAAAACATGAATCTCGCAGCAACTGGCTCTACTTTGATCCTTCAAGGCACTAAACATGGAGCCGCATGAGGTCACTGTCTCCTCCCAGCTCGAGTCCGCTGACCCATCAAGAACCGTAGAAGGTCGACTGTGCTATTCTGACCCATCAAAGAACAACTACCACAACTTGGATTTTCTTCCCACTAGATTGCACAATTCCGTTTCAAGGGACGAAACATGCCACACACCCCTCACTTGAGTGAGTTCTACAAGAAGTGAAACCGCCAATAGATAGTTCCTTTTAGTTTTCTGCTGTTCAGTTCATCGTCCAAATTTCTTGGCTGGAGGCTCTTCTTCAGTCATCTTCGACTTGTGTATTTTTGCACCCTAAATCTCTAGAGTGCACTGGTCGAAGAGGCTGGACTTTTGATTCATACCCCCAAGAAAAAAGTTGGATTGAACAACGTCTTCAGCCTATGAGGTGTTAATGATATTCACATATATTCACCAACTTATCAAGAGTCTCTTGGATTTGCTTGAGGAACCTGGAATCACATATTCCCATCATATTCCCATATAGGGAGAAACAACATCACCTTAAACCAGGGTCTATAGTTGTCTAAGAACTCTACGAATTTCACCCCCATTGTTGGATCGGGATGGCCCGCCAGAACCCTCTTTCCCTCCTTGTAGCTGATGAGGAAGTTCCAACAGGAGACCCGAGCCTGACAAGTCAACGGTGGCATGTGTCACGTCAGTGTGGTCGTGGAAGCGGGTTGAGCTCCAAACAGAATGGAGCTATCAGGGACGTCAACCTCCCAACAAAGGATCCTAGTGCACGTAGTCATCGGCTACAGCGGGGGGCATGGGCAGTGGTCCACCAACGAACTACCTGGGTTTCGTTGCATCACTGGCATCGGATAGTTGGACTCCAAACCTCGTTGAAAGATGCTGAAAGGACATACACTCCCGAAAACTAACATGGAAGTGGAAAACCACATGTTTGTAGTGGAAAATTGTCTTCCGAGGGGCCATTTTCCATTTCCATGTTAGTTCCAGGGAGTGTATATTGTTGAAAGTGGAAAGCCGGTTGATTGTTGTTGGCCCCATGTGGGTCCAAGCAGCTTCAATGACCAATATCAGTGGAGAAGGAAAGGACAGAAAAAGAACAAGTCAGACGATGTAGAATGAATTCGACCATCAATAAGCTGTCAGGAAGAAAACAACAACCATCATCTACCAGAAACAAGTTGCTCGTCTCAGCCACTCTCTTGAACTACTACATTACGTATCCAATTCTTGACATTAGTATGCTTTGCCGCTATGCCCCTGCAACCCCTAATATGAGAGGGCAAATTGGCACGAGAACTGACAGAGTCCAGCCTGATAGGCTGGAATTCGGCTGATCTGCCACATGTACTCCTGCATGTTTGGCAAACATCCAACGATCCGATTTTGCCAGGAGGTGCCGGTGACTTCGCTTTGTTCAAGGAAAACTTGTCTAGTTCATTCTAGTTCAAGTGACTTGCCCTTGGCATCCCCAGTTGACCTGCAACAATAACCACTTACAGCAATCAACGATACGAATTGCTTTGGTCATTGCCCCAGTCAGCAAAAGCAAGAAAAACACATCAACGCCAAGTGATCCAGCGCTCTCACTTCCTACCTCAGCCCCTTCTCCAACCTTCCACCAGCCGCCTGGATCTCCCCAAAAAGAAACACGCGAAAAGACTCCATGTGTCCCAGACACCGACCGTAACACGTTCTTCCTCCCACCGACCGTAAAACCAGACGCTTTTCCACCGACCGGCAGGGCAGGAAACGCTCAAACCCACCGACCGCAGTGCAGGAAACGCTCTCCTCGGGTAAGGCCAGCGGAACGCCCGGGTTTTCCCGAATCGATTCCTCCAGCTGTGCCACCTCTCCGGCTCGACCGAGCGCACGAGACACACGTATATCGGCGTAGGGTTGGAGGAGGGACGGCGCGGGAAGTGGACGGAGGACGACCCAAGGGAGCGGATCCAGAGACGTTCTGGCTGGCTACTGTCAACAATATTAGTCACATCAGGTGACTGGAAAACTGTTAGTCTGCAAGGGGGGGCCCGATGCGACGGGGTCACATCAGGGTCACTTCCATTTCCTTTGCGGAAGCAGCAGCAGCAGGCATTTACACCAGCAGCACACCAGCAGCAGCAGCAGCTACCACCACCACCAACACAACAACAACAACAACAACAACAACAACAACAACAACAACAACAACAACAACAACAACAACAACA